TTGTTGTGAGATGGGTTTCTTTTAAACAGCATATAGATGAGTCATGCTTTCTTATCCAATCATCTACTCTGTGTCTTTTTATGGGAGCATTCAGTTCATTTACATTTATGGTGGTTATTGATATGTACTTATTTATTGCCATTTTTGTTTAGTGTGGTTCTATTTTCCTTCCCATTTCTCCTGGTAATTACAGCAGTCCTTTTAACATTTCTTGCAGTGCTGGTTTGGTGCTAATGTATTCCCTTAGCCTTTTTTTGTCTGGGAACCTCTTTATTTGACCTTGTATTTTGAATGATAGCCTTGCTGGGTAGAGTAGTCTTGGATTCAGATTCTTGTTTTTCTTGACCTTGATTACTTCATGCCATTCCCTTCTAGCCTATAGTGTTTCTTGTGAAAAGTCAGCTGAGAGCCTTATGGGAGTTCCTTTGTAGGTAACCTGTTGCTTATCTCTTGCTGCTTTTAGGATTCTCTCTTTGTCTTTAATTTTTGGCAGTTTGATTACTATGTGTCTTGGTGTGGGCCTGTTTGGGTTCTTCTTACTTGGGGCTCTCTGTGCTTCTTGAACTTGAATGCCTTCTTCCTTCACCAAATTAGGGAAGTTTTCTGTCACTATTTCTTTGAATATATTCTCTAGCCCTCGCTTACTTTCTTCTTCTTCAGGGACTCCTATGATACGAATATTATTCCGTTTCCAGTTGTCCCAGAATTCTCTTAAGCTCTCTTCCTGTTTTTTAATCGTTTTTTCCTTTTGGTTTTCTGATTGGTTGATTTCTTCTAGCCTGTCTTCTAATTCACTGATCCGGTCCTCAGCTTCCCCTACTCTGCTTTTTAGACCTTCCAATGTGTTTTTCATTTCTGATATGTCATTCTTCATTTCTTCCTGTTGGTTTTTCATTTCCAGATGGTTTATTTTCAACATTTCTATGTCTTTACTCATGTTGCTCATGTCCTTACACATGCTGTTGAGCTTCCGCAACATCATGGCTCTAAATTCTAGTTCTGTTAACTTGCTTAACTGCACCTCATTTATTTCATCTTCTGTAGAGGTCTCTTGATCTTTCATTTGGCTTTTGTTTCTGTTTCTCACCATTTTGGTTATCACAGTGGGCTTTGGAGTCTGCCAAGTTTTCCCAGTGGGTGTTGGTGTTCTGCTGTTTGTGGCTCCCTCTCCTGGGTTTGGATGCACCAGGGAGGACCCACTTTAATCCCGCCAAGTCCCCTGTTCTCCGGGAGTCTGTGTGGCTCCAGCCGAGAGCTTAGCAGGCTACAGCGTTCCCAGGGCCCGTGCAGGGTGGCAAGGGAGGCGGTGGGAGTAATTTCCCGCTGAGTTCCCTGGTACGGCCGAGTCCCCTGGTGCCCGCAAGTCTGTGGGCCTCAGCCGAGAGTTTAGCAGGCTAGAGTTCCCAGGGCCCATGCAGGGTGGCAAGGGAGGCAGTAGGATTGTCTTCCGGCCGAGTTTCCTGGCCCCGCCGAGTCTCCTGGTCTTCGAGAGACTGTGCGGCTCCACCGAGAGCTTAGCAGGCTACAGAGTTCCCAGGGCCCATGCAGGGTCGCAAGGGAGAGGGTACGATTAACTTCCCGCCAAGTTCCCTGGTCCCACCGAGTTCCCTGGGGCCCTCGAGTCTGTGCAGCTCCAGTGGAGAGTTTAGCAGGCTACAGAGTTCCCAGGGCCCATGCATGGTGGCAAGGGAGGCGGTAGGATTAACTTCCCGCTGAGTTCCCTGGTCCCGCCTAGTGTCCTGGTCTCTGTGAGTCTGTGCGGCTCCAGCGGAGAGTTTAGCCGGCTACAGAGTTTCCAGGGCCCATGCAGGGTGGCAAGGGAGATGGTAGGATTAACTTCCCACCGAATTCCCTGGTCCCGCCGAGTTCCCTGGGGCCCCAGAGTCTGTGTGGCTCCAGCGGAGAGTTTAGCCGGCTACAGAGTTTCCAGGGCCCGTGCAGGGTGGCAAGGGAGACAGTAGGCTTAACTTCCCGCCCAGTTCCCTGGTCCCACCGTGTTCTCTGGGGCCGGAGAGTCTGTGTGGCTCTAGCAGAGAGTTTAGCCGGCTACAGAGTTTCCAGGGCCCGTGCAGGGTGGTAAGGGAGACGGTAGGATTAACTTCCCGCCGAGTTCCCTGGTCCCGCAGAGTTCCCTGGTCTCGCCGAGTTCGCTGGGGGCCACGAGTGTGTGCGGCTCCAGCGGAGAGTTTAGCCAGCTACAGAGTTTCCAGGGCTCGTGCACATTGGGAAGGGAGACGGTAGGATTAACTTCCCACCGAGTTCCCTGGCCCCTGCCCAGGCCACTGCGGACCCTGGGCTCTCGGTCCCCTCTCCCGTCCTCGCAAGCCTACCAGGATTGAGTGGGTCTTTCTGGTTAAATGGTCCTCCAAGATGTCTTTCGGCTGCCCTTTCCTGATGGTTTGCCTTTATTTTCGTTGTAAATCCAGTTTGGTCTTGGGAGATGGTCTGTGTCGCTCCATTCACTTCGCCGCCATTTTTCAACCTCCACTATTTCTTCAAATATATTCTCTAACCCTTGCTCATTTTCTTCTCCTTCTGGAACTCCTATAATGCAGATGTTGTTACATGTCATGTTGTCCCACATTTCTCTTAAGCTTTCCTCTTATTTTTTAATTGTTTTTTCTTTTTGGTTCTCTGATTGGGTGATTTTTTTCTACCCTGCTTCTAATTCACTGATCTCATCCTTCACTTTCTCTATTCTGCTGTTTATTCCTTCCAATGTGTTCTTTATTTCTGCTATGTCATTCTTCATTTTTGCTTGGTGGTTTTTTACTTTCAATTTGAAACAAGACTTTTGAACTTGACCTTTCTATAAACATCACTTACATTCCTTCTAGACCTCCTTTCTCCTAAAGCTTCCGGGCATAAGGGAGCATTTCCCAGAGAAGTAGAGAGAAACAAAAGACTCCCATAATCAACTAAGCCAGTGAGCCAGCAGCAGGCAGTTTGAGGAGCAAGCCTGTGCTCCCTGCAGGTCTTTGAAGCAGTTTAGGCTGGCTGGACCTCGTCAGAATGTGTGGGCTGAGCTGACCATCTCACTGAAGGCTGGCCAAGCTAAGCATTCAAACTGAATTTATGTTTTTTGATTGAAAACCTTTTCTTAAATTTACTAATCTGATTTAAATTTTTGCATCAAGCTATAATGCACTGTTGCCTTTAATGCTTATTTTTTGGGACACTTGAATATGTTTGATTCTATGCTAATTCTTGTGCTACTTGAGTTCCTATGTAATTTTCAGCATTCTCCTCCCTGTTTCTCAGTTTTGAATAGTTATCTCTCATTTCTCACTACTAAATGCACATATGCACAATGTATCCCTCTGATAATTTTTTGTTGGCTTAGAAACCAGAAAATGAAGCTGGTTAAAACTTAAGTGTAGAGCAAGAATGAAGAGGGATTTGGCTGTGAGTACAGTATATACGTTTCAGTGCAATGTATCACCTTTCCTCCTATTAAACGAGTTTGCTGTTATATTTTGAAATGATGAGGTTGTCCTCCAGAGGTCCTGTGAACTCCAGATACAGGGAGATGCTACTGTGCTCAGAAACACCTTTTATTCTCTCAAATTCTATTTGACTTCCTCAGCTGCTTTTCCTCTTCACAGGAACTTTTAATCATCTTGACAGAAATCACTGAGTTCTTATAGGCTCTTTTTTGCTTAGATGCATACATCAAAGTCTTCTCTTGTCAGATAGGAGGCATGGAAGATGTATCAGGTAGCTTTTGATCCTTAACCAGCCACTCTGAAACATAGGAGTTTAAAATCACAATCTTTGTTTATTTGTTCCCTTATGATTCTGTGGGTCAGAAGTTAGGGTCAACCTCCTGGGGTGGCTTATTCCTGCTCCACATGTGTTACTTGGGTATTTAATCTGGGACACCTGGAATGGCTGGCCCTCTCTCATCTCAAGGTTAATCATCCTACAGGAGGCCAGGAAGCCAACCCAGGCTTCTTCCTGTGGCTACTGGGTTCTAAGAGGGTGAGAAGGGAAGCTGTGAGGCATCTTGAGACCCAGGCTCAGAAATCCTTCATTGTCACCTCACCCATAGTCTGTAGGTCAAAGCAGGTCACAAGACAAGTCCCAACTCAAGTAGTGGAGAAATACACTCTATCTCTTGAGGAGAGAAGCTGCAAAGAATTTGTGATTATTTTCAATCAACCACAGCAGGAACCCCCAAATTCATTATTCTGTGAAGGACCAATTAGGCATAAAGTCTTCTGATTCTAAAATAATCAACATTCCCTGGCCCTGTCCAACCTCTCATTATTTGATTAGTGTTTGTGAATTAACAAAATGCTTTCTGTATGTCATTTACCCATATGACAGACTTTTGAAGTGTGTCGTCTTCTGTTTTTAGAGAAAAGATGAGAAGCCCAGAGAAGTTACAGACCCACTCAGGGTCCCACAGCTATGAAACGGGGGCACCTCCAATTCTATGCTTGTCCCTACATTCTTCTTATGAGGAACTCTATTTATTTCAAAAAAGGGTGATCTGATTAATTATTGTCATGTTCAAGATAAGAACTGAAGCTTATTCTTTCCTCCAGGGTAGAGATTACCTGTTCAGAGCTTCTCCCTAGCCATGCAGCTGTGCTTAAAAATTCCAAAAGAGCTTTCTGGGGGCTTTTTTATTTTAGTAACTACATTGGCTGAACTGCATCTAGAAGCATATATAGTTGCTACTCCTCAGAAAAGCAGGGCAAATAGCTGTCTCACTAAGAAAATACAGAGGCAGATAGGGAACTTTCATGGCTTCTAAGTATATACAGTAAAGTTCACCAAAGCTGTTACCTTCAGAAATCAACAATATCTAGCTAGCCTATTAAATGAGGTATACCTGACATGCTTCTCTCATACAACTATTTTTATATTCAGCTGCAAACATATCTGACCTATTAAATACTCATCTTTTAAAAATGCTAAAAGAAAAACTCTACCCAATTTCTTGAAAATCTTGAGAATTTATTAAAGTGATGTTTTTTAAAAATGAAATATGTGTGCTCGCTTCGGCAGCACATATTTTAAAATTGAAACGATACAGAGAAGACTAGCATGGCCCCTGCACAAGGATGACATGCAAATTTGTTTATGAAAAGAAAGAAATATGCATCACTGAATAGAACCTCTACACTGAACTAAAAGTTCAAGGATATATAGAGGGATCAGAGATCATTATTACCAACTGGGAAGAAATGTTAGCTTTAAAATGACTACATTGATACATTACTTATTTACCTTATGCATTCCTGTGCTTCCTGCAGTTTTTCATCTTAGATGCCAAGGAATCAGAAGTCAGGGTTCTTGGAAAATCACTAATTTGTGCACCATATGGCACATAGCACCATGTTGTCATTGATGCTGCTTTTGAGGCTTTACATTTTTATTGTATGAAGCATTCTTACTTATAATTTCACTCTTTGCTCCCAGCTCTATGAGAGAGAGCAATTTCCCAATGTGTGAGTGAGGAAACAGATTCTGAGAAATTAAGTGGCTATTCTAAAATTACAAATCTAGTCAAGTTAGATGAGAAGCTAAAAACCCGTATTATGACTCCTTCCACCTATCATATTGCTGTCTTTTGAAATATATATAATAGTTTATTTTTTTCTGAACATAGAAGAAACAAATGCACATATAAACAAAAGTCTAAACAAGAGCATAAAGATTACCTAAGATCCCCACCCAGGCTTTCTCTTTTTTGTGTGTTCAATATGACTAGAATAATATGTGTATATCAAATTTATATCTGGTTTTTGTTGTTTGGTTTGTTTTGTTTAATCTTAGATCAAGAGTATTTTTTATGCTATTATTAAATCTTTGAAAATATAACTATAAAATGCTGCAGAGATGTTATGTCATATGCATTCTTCATAAATCATTCAATCAGTGCCCTATTGTTTGACACATAGAAAATATCTTATTTTTTATTTTTATTTTTTTTAAATCCTCACCCAAGAACACTTTTGCATTTAACTTCAGACAGAGTGGGAGGGAGAGAAGGAGGAAGAGAGAGAAAGAGAAACATCTGTGTGAGAGACACATCGAGTGGTTGCCACCCACATGACCCCAAACAAGGCCTAGGACAAACTGTAACCAAGGTATGTGCCCTTAGCAGGAACTGAACCTGATTCTCTCTGGACTGCAGACCGATGCTCTAACTGCTGAGCCAAACCGACCAGGGCGAGAATATCTTATTTTTATTGTAGTAAATAATAATAAATATTATTATAGTAAATAATAAGGCGAAACATATATATATATATTTTTTTTTCTTTTATAGTTCTAGGTTTTTCCATTGGTCATATCCTTATCAGACTATAGGGTCAAAAGCTATTATGATTATTAAGGCACTCGACATTATTTAACTATTAAATTTTCTCCATTAAATTCAAATAAAATTCATATTGTGCAAGAAAACGTGTCAGTAGTAAATAACAGGGTTCTTGCTACTGGAAAGTATTTTCTAGGAGAACCAAGAACATATTCAATAGATAGTGGCTTCATCTCACAGATTAGATCTTCCTCCATAGAGACTGGAAATACTTTTTTTTAATGGCCTTGGCTGTCTTACTGCTGCTCTCTGTATTACTGTTCTAAGATTCTGCTACCAATTCTACAAAATTCACCATTATAAGAGTGAGAAGGAGAGTGAAAGAAATAACTGAAGGGTAGAAAACTGTTGAGAAAGCTGTTGTAATTATCCAAGATCTCCCTTCCTTTGCATCAATTCCTTCTGCTTGAATGCTCTGAATATTTTTTTTTTAAATGCCTGAATATTTTAAATATATATATATATTTTAAAATTAATTCATTTTTGTTACAGACATTTCTCCTTTTCCCCCCTCCACTTGCCTCTCCACCCTCTCACCAGCTTTGTTGTCCATGTCCACTGTTCACGCACACATGCATATAAGTTCTCTGGTTTATCTCTCTCCCACCACCCCCTATTCTGGGGATTGTCAGTCTGTACCCCATTTCCATGTCTCTGGGACTAACCCATTCCTCAGACTGTTATTCATTATATTTCACAAATATGTAAGATCATATGATACTTGTCTTTCTCTGTTTGGCTTGTTTCGCTTAGGATAATACTTTCCAGGGTCCCTCAGTGTCGTCTCAAAGGATAAGAGATCTTTCTTCCTTAAAGCTGCATTGTACTCCATTCTGTATATGTACCACAGCTTTTGTATCCATTTGTCTACTGATGGACATTAGGGCTGCTTCCAGTTCTTAGCTATTGTAAATAGTGCTGCTACAAACATGGGGGTACATATATTCTTTCTGATTGGTGTTTCAGGCTTCTTAGGGTATATGCCTAAAAGTGGGATCACTGGGTAAAATGGAAGTTCAATTTTTAATTTTTTTAGATAACACCAAATTATTGTCCATAGTGGCTGCTCCAGTCTGCATTCCCACCAGCAGTGTACTAGGGTCCCCTTTCCTCCACACCCTCGCCAACACTTGTTGTTTGATGATTTGTTGATGGCAGCCATTCTGACAGGTGTAAGGTGATACCTCATTGTTGTTTTAATTTGCATCTCTCTGATGATTAGTGATGGTGAGCATTTCTTCATATGTCTCTTAGCCATTTGTATGTCTTGTTTGGAGAGGTGTCTAGTTCCTCTGCCCGTTTTTAATTGGGTTCTTTGTTTTCCTTTTGTTGAGTTGTATGAGCACTCTATGTATGTTGGAAATTAACCCCTTTATGATATATCATTGGCAATTATGTTCTCCCATACAGTGGGTTGTCTTTCCATTTTGATGATTGTATCATTTGCTGTGCAGAAGCCTTTGAGTTTGATGTAGTCCCATGTGTTCATTTTCTCCTTTGTTTCTATTGCCTTAGGTGATGTAACAGTGAAAATTCTGCTGCGTATGATGTCTGAAATTTTTTTTTTCAGGTGTTTTTTTTTTTTTTTTATGCAAAACCATTTTTCATCTTTCTCTTAATCCATGGTCAGTGTTCCTAGGAATGTAGTATAATATAAAGTGCTTGGTTTTAAATCAGGAAGTCCATCTGTATAATTCCCCCTTTTTTTTTTTATTAGTCAAACCACATCTTTTTCATTGTGGGCATATTTTTGGTGCTTCCGAGTTCAGGTGATTTTCTAAAAAAAAAAAAAATCTTAGTTTATCTAAGGTTAAATTTTGAGATGTACAGTGATACCTCGGTTCTCGAACATAATTCGTTCCAGGAGGACGGTCGAGAACCAAATTGTTCGAGAACCGAAGCAATGAAACCCAATAGGAAATAATGGAAACTGGATTAATTCGTTCCAAGCCCCAGAAAATGCCTATTTACTGGCCTAATTTGTATATAATATGTAGAAAAACATAAGTCTCAACAAGAAATAAAAGTGTACAGTATGTCTAAGGGTTAAATTCAGTGTAAAGCGTGACTCTCTCCACAAAGCGTGACTCTCTCTCTGCACTCACACTGATGACGCAAGCAAGGCGCGCTGGGCCGAATGAACGCCATTCGGCTCAACTCGGCTCATCTCGGAAGTTCGAGTTCCAAATATTTGTTCGGATTCCAAGACAAAAGTTTCTCGAATCTCCTGGTCGAATACCGATTTGGTCGAAAGTCAAGGCGTTCGAGTAAACTATTTTTGTTATGTCATTTTATTTTTTGGCTTCTTTTCTGTTTTGGTTTGGTTTTGTGATGGTGGTGGAGTTTTAATTTTATCTCCTACTAATAATTATTTATGCTGACCTAGATAAAAAATTTTCTCTGTAGGTAGGCAGACTGGCAGGCAGTAATTAGATACCTGACTGTATTAAGAACTATTTATATCAAAATATGAGTTACTCTACTTTTCAGAAAAAAAGTAGACCTCTTTGGTCTCCTGTGAGGTAGCAATTACCACATCATCTCCAAACTTCAACAGCTTACATATGGAATTTGCAAGCATGAGCTATGCAAGTACAAATTTGATGCCTATGTTTAATTAGACTCTTTAAGACCCAGTTGTATACAAATTCTAAAGCAGCATTTATACATTAGCAAGTAAAGATATAATACAGACATTGCACAAGGAAATTGAAGAAGTACTTTTTTTTACCCTAATTCTGTTTTTTAAATTGAACGAATTTGGGGTTACATTAATAAAACCATACCAGTTTCACATGTACAATTCTATAGCATGATGTCTGAAATTTTGTTGCCTACAGTTTCTTTTAGAATTTTTTATGAATTTGTGAGTCCCATTTAAGTCTTTTATCCATTTTGAGTTTATTCTTTTGTATGGTATAAGTTGATGGTCTAGTTTCATTTTTTTTGCATGTAGCTGTTCAATTTTCCCAACACCATTTATTAAAAAGGCTGTCTTTACTCTACTGTATGCTCTTGCCCCCGTTGTCAAATATTAATTGAGCATATTGTCTTGGGTCCATTTCTGGGTTCTCTAATCTGTTCCATTGATCTATCTGCCTGTTCTTGTGCCAGTACCAGGGGCTGTCTTGATTATAGTGGCTTTGTAGTATAACCTGAAATCTGGTAATGTGATCCCTCCAATTTGCGCTTCTTTTTCATGACTGGTGTGGCTATTCGAGGACTTTTTTGGTTCCATGTGAACTTGTGAAGTATTTGTTCTAGTTCTGTGAAGTACGGCACTGGTATTTTGATGGGGATTGTATTGAATCTATAGATTGCTTTGAGTAGTATGGACATTTTAATGACGTTAATTCTTCCAATCCATGAACAAGGTATGTGCTTCTACATTTTCATATCTTCCTCTCTTTCTTTTTTCAATGACATGTAGTTTTATGCATATAGGTTCTTTATTTCTTTGGTTAACTTTACTCCTAGGTATCTTAATTTTTTTCTGGAGATGGTAAATGAGATTGTTTTTTTAGTTACTCTTTCTGTGAGTTCATCATTGGTGTATAAGAATGCTGTCGATTTCTTGATGTTAATTTTGTATCCTGCTACTTTTCCAAATTCATTTATTTGGTCTAGTAAATTTATGATGGAGTCTTTGGGTTTTCTACATATAGTATCATGTCATCTGCGAATAATGACAGTTTCACTTCCTCCTTTCCAATTTCGACCCCCCCTTTTTTTCTTTCAGTCTGATTGCTGTGTCTAAGACTTCCAGTACTATGTTAA